GACTCTCTAGGGAGGAGGATGCTAAACCATTATGAAGAACGGTGTGATTTTACCAAAGCCTTATTCAAAATTAAATGTATTTTAAAGAATTAAGGAGGCAGATCACGAGGTCAAGAGATCAAGACCAGCCTGGCCAACATGGTGAAACCCCGTCTCTACTAAAAATACAAAAATTAGCCAGGTGTGGTGGCACATGCCTGTAATCTCAGCTATTCAGGAGGCTGAGGCAGGAGAATTGCTTGAACCTGAGAGACGGAGAGATCTCGATGAGCCGAGATCACGCCATCGCACTCCAGCCTGGGAAACAAGAGCAACACTCCATCTCAAAAAAAAATAAAAAAAAAAAAAAGAATTTTGTAAGTGATAGTCAAATGTAACACTAAGAGGTGATCCCAAAGAAAACGCTACTTGTTTTCTTTTGGATCAAGGCCAGGATGGTCTCGATCTCCTGACCTTGTGATCTGCCCGCCTTGGCCTTCCAAAGTACTGGGATTACAGGCGTGAGCCACCGAGCCCGGCTGGGCTACTTGTTTTCAATAGAAATAATTTATAAATTATATGCATTTCAGATGAACAGTAAAAGGAAGGGGAGCAAGAAGGGCTGTGTAAGAATACCACCTAATACTGATCTTTACCATTATTTGATTTTCTTAAATAGATCCTAAAATGTTAGCGTAATTTCTTTTGTTCTAATAAAAAAAGCAAAAAACGTAAATCAACAAGAGAAAGCCTATCCCAAGAAAAGTACTATATTAGCTTACAGACGAAGAGATCAAAAGTTCAAAAGTAAATTCAGCTTTAGAATGTAAAATATTTGTAAATGTTTTACTACCACACATTCTCAAAGCCACCCAGCCATAGTATTCCAAATAATTATCAGCAGTAGGCCCCTGTAGAAACACGTAGTTCAAATTAACCTTTGTCGGTAGTGATAACACAAGTAAATCATGCAAAAAACTAAGATGTTATATTACATAAGTGTGGTCTAGGCTGGGTGCACTGGTGCATGCCTGTAATCCTAGCACTTTGGGAGGCCAAGGTGGGCAGATCACCTGAGCCCAGGAGTTTGAGACCAGCCTGGGCACATGGTAAAATCCTGTCTCTACAAAAAAAAAAAAAAAAAAAAAATACTAGTTGGACAAGGTGGCGCATGCCTGTAGTCCCACCTCCTCAGGAGACAGGTGGGAGGATCACCTGAATCTAGGAGGTCGAGGTTGCAGTGAGCCATGATCGTGCCACTTCCCTGCAGCCTGGGTGACAGAGTGAGACCCTGTCTCAAAACAAACAAACAAACAAACAAAAAAACCAAAGTGTGGTCCAGCATTATATAAAAGTAAAAAGAAAGTGAAACCCAAAACAAGGGGAAAAACTATTAGTAACCGTCGTGAATTCTTCTGTCTCCCTTCATCTTAAGTATTCATTCCCAAAAATTGTGAGATTATCCCTTGTTTTAACTTTTGGGACACTTGGACTTTAATATACAAAAACCAAGCTACTTTACTTTTGATCTCATAGATGATAACTTTTTCCTTCTTGGTCAATTTTAATGGAAATCTTGCTTTATAGAAGAAATCTGCTAGACAAGTTTGTGTGTTAACTTTAATCTTAACTTTGGAACAACTGCAGTGAGGATGGTTAATCAAAATTTACCGGAGGCATATTGTCAATTAAGCATCATGAAAAGTCCCAAAGAACTAAAAGATCCTTTCTTGTCCTCTCAGGCAATCTGATCAGAGATATGATATAAACAAATAAAAACAAATTAATGAAATTTACATAACTATACAATCAATTGTTATACATATCCAAGGGGTAAAGATATTTTAGAGTATCCTATCCTGGTAATGTTAGTTTTGGAAAGCTGCTTCAGTGTTACAAATTGGAACAGTTTGGAAAGACACAGTTGTATAAAAGGACAGGCACTCAGATAGGCATGGCAGATGGATGGAATCTGTTGGTACTGATTCAACTTGATGATCTAAATAACTTCTGAAAACTATTCACAAACTCATTTAGGTCTTCATCAATCTCTTCCACATTGGAGAAAGTCTGGTGTCAATATTTAATACTTAAACATTTATGTGGGAGTAAGGTTGTAATGTGTTTAGAACAGAATAGCTAAAATTGAGCCAGTATCTGAAGACAGAAAATTGTTTAAAAATTAACAACATAACAATATAAAAAAGTTATTAAGCCGGACAAAGCAAAATGAAAAGCAATTTAAAACACAAAAAAAATTAACATTCTGATCATCTCTTTAAAAACTGTATCTGAAAATATTTTGCCTTAAGAACTCTGTTTAATACCAGTGCCGAACTCTCCCTAACTATGAAATTATTTAAACTATTTACTCTCAACTGTACACATCATTAAAAAGCCTGGAAATCACAGAGCCCCCCTGCAGTCTCTAACCGACGTGCAGCGAGTTTACAGGTCAGGAATGCTGTGGGTGGGTCTCTGAAAGATATCCGCCTTAATTTCAGGCACACTCACACGGGCAGGATCAAGTCAATTCATACCGTAGGCTGGACTCTCTAGGGAGGAGGATGCTAAACCATTATGAAGAACGGTGTGATTTTACCAAAGCCTTATTCAAAATTGAATGTATTTTAAAGAATTAAGGTTCAACTAGGAAGTGGGTGGGGTTTCTTTTTTTCCACGTTTAGAATCTGTGAAAAGAAGTGACTCTGGAATCTGGTTTCAGTCAAAACAGAGTGACTGATGTTGGAGGGGGGCGGGGTGGGCACGCCAACTGACACACGGGTCTCTCAAAGGTGAAAAGTCTTTAAACTCTGAGAGAATAAAATCACTTCACCTTTAAGAACTGATGCTAAATCGTATCTTTCACATGATTCAAACAATAATAATGGTATTGCTCTCTTATACATAGGTAATAATCTTTGAGGAAAAACACCAGGTCTGTTTTGCTCATCATTGCACATCTAGCACCCAGGGTAGTATTTATGAAGTCTTAATAAATAGTTAACACTTAATAACATTTCGTATCAGTCTGTTCACAGTCTGCTCACGTTAAGCAAAGAAGAATGTGACACTATCTTAGCACTATTAATCAAGGAAAGATTTAGGAATATCAAGAAATCTTTGCTTGAACGGTAATATTACTGTTGAAGAAAATACAAACGCAAAGGAATAAATTTTTTTCAGACAAGACTACAAGCACACCACCGTAAAACACTTTACAGAACAAGAGAAGGAAAAAAAAAAAATCAAACTAATGAGCCATTTTGTCCACATGCCTGTGGGTTGTCAACTATGTTTATTAAGCAGCTGAAAAGGTACTCCTAACTAAAGCAATAATGGGAAAGTATAATAAAAGATAAGCCATATGCATAATACATATATTTCCATGTGACTAAAATTGTCTGGAAGGAGACACAAGAAACTGGGGTAAGGAGTGGGGTGGGAAAAGAAGGCATATTTTTTGTTCATAACCTTCTAAACTGGTTTGATTTTTCTTCTTGTTTTTTACGAGTTAATTTTTGTATTTTTAGTAGAGATGACTGAATTTTTACTTGCCATTTCTTTTTAATGCTTAAACTAAATTTTGTCATTGACTTAATTCACCATTTGGACTACAACAGAGTTAATAAAAGCAAAACATGCCTATCATCACAACCTCAGTCACCTCACTATCGATAGCCTCTCTAGTGAATTCTCATCTACTTATGAGTTCTCAGCTAGACCTTCCATGCTACGAGTAAGCTCAAGCCTACACTGCAATCCCAGATTCCTTTCCAGAACTCCACACTCAACATTTCCACCTGCCTCCTATATAGCTCCACTTAGACTTCATGGGCACCTCAAACTCAACAAATCTAAAGCTGAACTTCTCACCATCCTAACCCTCCCTCTCAGTGAAAACCTGACACTCCTCTTCTATTACCTATTTTGGTCAACAGCATCACTATCCAGTCTACCCAGTCTCCCAAGTTTGGAGTCATCTTTGGCTCCACCTTATTTTCTGGCTTCCAGATAGAATTAGTAATGACTTTCTGTGCTTCAGTCCAAGAGCTTCTTGTGGGGCACAAGAGAATTTTAAGGAGGTAGAAAGTTGTTTTTTTGTTTTTGTTTTTGACAGCATCTGACTCTGCCACCCAGGATGGAGTGTAGTGGTGCAATCATGGCTCACTGCAGCCTCTACCTTTCAGGCTTAAGTGATCCTCCAGCCTCAGCCTCCCAGGAAGCTGGGACCACAGGCAAGTGGCACCATGCCCAGCCTATTTATTTACTTATTTATTGTAGAGATGGGGC